AGCACGCCACGCCATTATATCCGAGTCCGCGAAGGAGGAAGAGCTTGAAAAACGATACGTTCGATTGCACGTTCATGGACGGGTGCACTGTGCAGTCGGGTCTCGTTTCCGAGGGCGCCAGGGGCCAGGGCCTCCCCCCAACTGTTGCCAAATTGGCCACGAAACAAGGTGTAAATTAAAGCACTACGAAACATATTTCGGTCTGATGTTTCACGAGGAAAACCGAATCGAACAACCAGTGCCGGATTTGCGTTTTTGCGCCAAGTGCAGAACATTTTCAGCTCCTCCCGCCCCCCAAAAGAAGAAAAGGATAACGTACAATTCTTGTAAAAGTGTTAATGTCACGTCGTCTTCTCGGTGAAGCTATCATACTTAATTCCAATGAATTGTTAATTTGCCGCCCAGTGCAGGTACATTTGTTGCACCTAAATCCTGCACTGTGCACGACGGAACGTCCTTCTTGAACAAGATATCGATGGCCAAAGTATGAAACCACGTATCTCCACTGCTGTATTTTAAACTGCATTAGTCAGCATTCAGGTCATACCAAATAGTACGGCCGATCGTGTAAAACAATTTTTCATAGTGTCGGTCAAAATTTCATTTCGCATTTTCTTGATTTTTCCTGACATTTTAATGAAATTTCCTGATTTTTTTAAGCGAAGAAATTGACACTCATTCGATTTAACTAACCAACATACTGAATGAATCATACGAAATATTTCACTTTTGCACGCGTTAAACTCGATGAATTGAATGTAAAATGCATGGCACCCTCAGAATTTCCTGATATATAACCGATCCTCCTGATTTTTCCTGATGAAGTTAAATTCATTGATATTTCCCGATTTTTCCTGACGGTAGCCCTAGTAGCAGAGTTATATAAAAAATTTGTTTTTAAAAGTATAAACCGTAAATAACCACAAGCTAAAGAATATTCATTGTTTATGTAATGGATGTAAAGTTTTTTAGTTAAAAGTTTACTAAAAAACTTATTTTATTACGTAACCCTTAGTATAAAAGTTATATAACCAAATTCAAAGAGTGTATAAAATGAATTTTCATTATTCTTCCTGGCTGGTAGCACACTCTAGTTATGAAGTGTGCAAGTTTTCATATGCGTTACTACCANTTTGAAGTCTAAGGAACATTGAGAAAACTGCTCAAAAAAGCTCAAGTCAAAGTGTAACTAAGCTCTTGTGCCGACGAAAAAAACGAATTTGAGGGGAAGAAAACAGCACAGAAGAGACGGCGAATGAACGGTTGGGGAATGGACGTAACATGGGAAAGATTCAAAGGGGAGGACAAGTAAATTCTGTTAATCCCCGAGCACACTTCATCGCTCTTCTGACGAAAGAGCGTATGTCAATTTCCGCATGAGCCCCAGGAAGTATGTTTTTATACGTAAGACGGGGTCACCCTGAAATTGAGATCCGCCCTTACGTCGGAGGATCGACGACTTCTGAAGCGAAATGAAACGAAACAAAAAGTAAAAGTTCCTCCAATCAAAGCAGGTCAATGAGATGGCGAGGCTTAAAGTCGTGACTTTGCTTTTTAACCTCTTCGTTCGATTCGTTATTGAAAAAAGTTCACTTTAGACGGGTGAAGGCTAATTAGCGCTGCGTCCTCTAATATCGTCAACAAAGTTGCTTGTCTTCTGATTACGTAAAATCTGTCCGTAGTCGAGTTTCTCACGAATAAAGAACGGAATATGTTGACTGAGTCGAGTGGATGATTTGCAAAAAAAACGGTTAATATCAAAGCCCTTCATGTTACAAATGTAGCTGAGGTATACAAATCAAGAGATAAAGGTGGTACATAAAACGAGGTACTATGTTCTTTTTGAAAGCACCTAGTATTTTTTTCCAAGTAGCAGTTTGGATCGGGCTGTCTTTTGATTATTTATCGACTAAGTTACAGGTTGCTCAAGATATTAGGCTAAAAACAGGGAATTTTTCCACCATTTTCGTCATCCTAAAAATATTTTGGAAGCTTACAATTCACTTAAATTGTGAGAGAAATAAGTTCAATTTATTGTACCACTACGAGTTTATGTTTTCAGCCACTTAAGACCACCACTATCTTACACAAAGATAATTTATGAATTTTTGAATCCGATCACTATGAATCAAAGCGATGTTATCAGGTAGAGAAAGTGTGAAATTCGGAGGTCAACGCTCCTTTTCGCCCCACGAGGGCTGATGATTAACTTGTTGCGGGGAAAAATAGAATTAAAACCGCCTAATGATCACAAATGAAAGTCAGAGTCCGCACTTTACAGAATTTTTGCGAAATATGTTAGGCGAAGCCAACTGCTCATCCATTTGGCCATTAAGTCGTCTTTAGGCGAATCTGAGCGATGACTTCCAAGTAAGTGATTTTCACTTTTTAGCAAAGAGATATACTTATACTGCCCTGCTAAGGAAGAACGTTGTATGAGCCTTTAGCCGTTGCCAAACTGAATCAGTGAGTTCGAAAACACACCAACTCGGTAACTCGAAACTGCTCAATTTTCATAAGAGACGGTCAATTTTTATAAAAGTCATTAAAGGTAGCGCATCTGTTCCAACTGAGACCTTTAAAATGCCCTTAAGTGCTTGTATTTCGGCACCAAAGATCTCTTTCTTTGACTAATTCTTCACTCACTGTTCGGTTTCTTGTGTGTCTTGATTCTTTTCATTAATCCGAGTTGGTGTCTTTTCGTTCTCACTGATTCAATTGTCTTTGACAAAACACGAAATTTCGGGAAAATTCGCAAGAATTTTTCCCTTGAATTTTCAGAGGATCATGTTCGCACTTCAATCTAAAACAACTGAAAATTTCAAGGAAAAATATTCGTAACTTTCTTTAAAATTAACGTTTTCCGAGGGACGAAATAGCATTATCCGAGTGCTCATACGGCGTTTTTTCTTAGCACGTCAGTATAGCGATGCAGAATCTCTAAAATATATCATTCATGATTTTGCGCCAACGCTCCGCGGAGTTCTCTGAACCTAAAAAAAGGATCCGTGTTTTTTGCGGGGCCTTTCACGGGTTTTGTAAAGCTGCTGCCGTATTGAGGTTACATTGTGCTGCAAGCGCTGCGGGCGTCGTCGCGTCGTGACTCACTATTCATTTTGCACGCAGAGCGCAGGCTACGACGCGAGCGTTCTCGAACGATTTGAGAGCTCTACGTGCATTCACGAGCGAAAAATGGTTCGAACATTATGACATCATTCAGAGAGCCTTAACCTATCCGATACCCTCAATGTTACCCATCGAGGATGACATTTTACCTTATACTTCGGGTGCTGGAGTGAAATGCGACGTTTACGTCTTACGACTTTTTTCACGTTTTAATGATTGTCTTTTTGGGATATGTAAAAAAAAACACGGCCGGCAGTGATAGATAACACTTCATAACCGAAGAAAAAAGTAGGAAGCTAAAAGAATGAGTGAAATTAGCAAGGAAGTCTACAAATATATGCCGAAAACTTATCAGTGGTAGAAGGAGTACATCAAATTGGAGAAAAAAAGGAAATCGGGAGACATTGCAGCCGGAGACAGGAGAAAAGTAATAGGGCTTTGTCTTTTAATTTCTCACTCGAATCTGTGAGCGACATTTCATTGGCAGCATAAGAAGAGCATTGAGAGTTACGAGTTCATGCCTCGCGCCATCGCGCCTTCAATTTTGCGTACGCAACACGGACGTCCATCAAGCACGAATAGTTGTATCGGCGCCGTCATTTACGCGGGTCCTTTCTCGTGCTCTATTTCCATGCTGTGTTGGTTCTGTTTATCTTATATGTAGTGTTGCTTCAAGGGCTCCGTGAAATACACATCCGGAGATAGGGAAGACGTGATGCCGCTCCTTTTTTAACTTTTCGCCCGAACCTGAGCGACACCGCATTGGCAAACATTTCGAGTTGACGTCTCGCGCCTTCGCGCCTTCAATTTTGCAGATGCAACATGGACATCCATCGAGCACGAATAGTTGTATCTCTGTGCCGTCATAGACGCGCGTATAATTCAACGTGTTATCTATCATCTAGTTATCACACTGTACTTACTTCGAGCACATACAGGTTGATCAAAAAGTCCCGTAACACCTTTAAAAACCTTGAAATTCATGCTCAGGATAATCCACTGAAAATTTTGGGGGGTCCCAAGATAAAGTTCTTTTGCTCCAGAAGCATTCGCAGACTTTCAAGTCTCTATTTAAAGTTCAAGAGTTACAGGAGTGATGCTTGGAGCTAATGGTGCGGGGGTTTTGGATTACCAAATGATTAAAAAACATTTAAGAAGACATGAAATTATCTCCAGAAGGTGAGACCCCTTTGGACCAATATCTTGGGCGGTTCGCCAATGGACCACTAGACAAGGTACGAATTTAAGCAATCTGATACATACGTGAGTTAAATCGTACACTACAACGGTTTCAGCAAGCTTCTCAATCGAGCAATGTTCATTTTCCACCATGCGTTGATGAAACTATAAGCAGTTTGCTATAGCTGAGCCAAAGCGCCAAGATCGACGTTGCCAGATTTTTATATCGCAGAGACTGTCATGATAACGTTTAGCACGCGATGTGAATCACGTAGAGCATTGAGTTTTCATGAGCGGGTGGTTTAAATTCACGCATTAAGAATCATTGAATATCTTAAAAAAGTATTGATTTCGGTAATTTTCGTTGTGCGCATCGTGCTGTACGTGAAATTCTGGTTAAGAAGCATGTATCAGGTTGCTTGAATTCGTACCTTGTCTAGTAAGTCCTTTAAATACACGGTAAATGGTTGTAAAGATTGAAAGCACTCCGAAACCTCGTTTCCTTCCATCAAACACGGCCCATCTTTAAAGAAGAAACAATAATGTCATTTGCGAGATAATTCCAAGAATGGAACTGGCAACCATGGACATGATGTGTGCGGAGCGGCGCAGTTTAATAAACCACCCGCTTGACAGTGACGTGCATCTAAACCGCATTTGAAAACGGGAGCTTCGACGGAAAATCAAAAGTTTTCGCAAATATAAAATGAGATCACCGGCTGGAGACTTACAGTATATTGCGTGCTGCCCGGGACGGCTGCTGCTTGCTTGCGTGGGTCCCCTTATTCGGAAGCACCGCAACTTCCTCGGAATAGTGTCAGCTGTGATGTTCGCCAGGAATTGGATACAGTTTTTGTTGCTCTTGACACTAATATTTTTCCTGATATTCACCGTCTCCGTGAGTGCCTCTTCCAGTTGATATTTTGATCATGTTATGGGCGTCGTAAGGTGCAGGCGCGGGTCTTTTGCGCAGTTGCACACGAGAAATATAGCCGGCCAAATAAGTAGACGATACTTCGGTAAAATAGACCAGTATTGCCGTTCTAAGGAAAAACGCCGCACTGGAAAGAAAAAACGCATTGGATCTGAGTCCAGGCTCTTAAAAACATCGACAAGAAAAAATACTCTTGATTCAATCGGATTTAAGCTTGAATCAAGAACCCAGCCTCTTAATTTGAGCGGATTTCCTTTTGATTTAAGCTTAAATCTGATTGAATCAAGAGTATTTTTCCTTGTCAATGTTTTCAAGAGTCTGGACTCTAGATCCAATGTGTTTTTTTCCCTAGTGCGACGTTTTTCCTTAGAACGGCATAAACGTTATAACGTTAATGCTGGGCGGGCGGCCAGCGCGAAACGCGCATTGGCGCCTACAAACCTAAGTGGATACTTCAAGCATTGTGCAATGCGTGAAGTATCCACTTGGGTTTGTAGGCGCCAGTGAGCCTCTCGCGCTCGCAGCACGCCGCTCCGCTCTGTTAGGCTTTAATATTTATACTCGCATAGTCAGCGTTTTTTAACTCATGATTTTGAAATGTTAGCACACTCTGCATTGATTATTCTCATTTAAATTGATCGGAAAAATATGTATCAATTTATCAAAGGGGAATAATAATATAATGTGTGTTTTTTTAATATTGGTGGTTCCGTGTCAAATTTAATGATTTTCAAAGTACTTTAATTTTTTCTTTTACATTTTGTGCTTTTATTGTGCTGCAGCGAGGTGTACGCGCAACGAAATGTTCAAAATTTGACGTATTAGACTCTAAAAGATTGATGTACAAATGGGTTAAAACTAAAAATTGGGTGCTTCTTGGTTTTTTCCCCTCTTTTATGAATTTTCGCAGTTTCTGTTGGCACAACTGCGGCTGATTGAGATTAATGTCGCTTGGAAAAGGTTTTACAAATATTTGCCACGTTTTAAAAATATAAATGTTTTCAAAATGAAGTAATAATTTCGTAAAGAAAAAATAAAAAAAATAAAATAAAAAAAGTACCTATACATATATAAGGTATACATTCAATATTTTAAGGATAGAAATAAAACCAAATATTCACCAATGACAATTTAAAAAGATGAATCAAAACGAGAAAGTAACATTTCATTTAGAAAATGAGCAACCATAACAACACCTCTTTCTCTCTCAATTTCTCATTTCCATATTGTCAATATAATTTTACATACCGACTAATATATAGCGCTTGGACCAAGTCACAGTTGCTTGTTTTACGTGTGGGCGTAAACTACTGGACAAAAAAGGTGCGCGGACAAAAAATCGTTGACAACATGTCCTGAAACCGGGCTCATGAGTTAGGCGGCCGCGGGAGAAGCGCTGCGGCGGTTTTGTCACTGGCGCTTTATATTTCCCATTCATTCTTAAGGCCCCCCGCACTGACAAGCACACTCTATCTTTCCCCCTGCACATAGTTCTGTTTGACAGAAATACGTCCATTTGGGATCGAGACACGTTTTTTTGTTTGTGGAAGCAACGAATATGCGAACTATCCTCACTCTTTAGTTTTCAAAAATACAAGAAGTATAGATTAAGGTTCAGTTACACGATCAAATTGAGCCATCAAACTGAAGCTCTGATTGGTGGAAAAAGACCTGAGGTGAGGATGCGACCGATGAGAGGCCCAATTTGATGGTTCAATTTGATCGTGTAACTGGATCTTTACAGAGTAAGCTCATTCCTGGTTTTCGTTTCCAAGGTGGCCGATGACGGACCCGATGAAGAGAATGAGAGCGCGGGGCCGAAGCTGGAGACGCGATGCGCGCGTCGGTACCGGAAGATGATGATGATGAACGGGAACGGAAACGGAAACGGAAACGGGCAGCCGAACCCGGCGACGGAGGCCGCCCTCGCATCCGCGCTCACCTCCAACGTCTGCGCCGACTACGACCCCACCGCCTTCTTCCCGTACTTCAGCCTGGGCTACTACAGGGCCCTCGGCCGCTGTAAGGCCGCCGCCCAGTACCTCTTCATGTCCAACATCAAGCGACCCGACGACTGCCAGCGGTTCTACGGCGTCCGCTGCGGCCAAGACCCACAAGGGAATCCGGTCGGTATTGTTTTCTTTACTGCAGTTGGACGTATTTATGCTCAAAAGAACTATGTGCAAGATGGGGTGTGCTCGTGGTGAGCTGGATAAGAACCGATGTAAAAGTGGATGTAGTTCCTTTTGAAAAAATGGAAAAGCGGGATTTTACATTGAATCAAGAGAGACTGAGCGCTAATTTGTGAGCGGTGGGCATGTGATGGGAGACTTGTGGACAGGGCTCATGAGTTAAATAGTCCCGCCACCGATCTCCCCGTCGTGCTCGGTCTCGTTCGTTGCCGCTGACGTCACTGCCGCTTTTAAATTCCTATTCATTCTTATGGCCCGAGCACTAACGAGCACACCCCATCTTTCCACTTGCACATAGTTCCATATAGCAGAAATTGGACCGCGTTTAGCGGAAAAAAACCAAGCCACATCGGCTATTGTCAAATTTGACTGGGCGATTTAATTTTGTACAGGAAAACGTTTGTGCGGATTACTTTGAACATGTTAAGGAGTTTGTTTCGTACAAGGAAGAAAGTTCACTGTTTGCACACAAATCTGCACAACCGTTTTCATGCATAACATTAAACTGCCCGATAAATTTGGCAATAGCTGATGTGGCTTGGTTCCTTTCTGCTCCACGGGGTCCATTTCATTTACACTGAGATTAAGGGAGGCTTTAGGAGGTCCTCAAAATAGCATCACGAAATGGATTGTTTGTGTCAACCTCGAATAAAATTCAGCAAAGCAACTTTAAAAATGGATCATACCTGGAGAAAGGTAACAGTTTCGGAAATATGACGCCATTTGTAGACATAAAACTCAGTGTATTTAATACTACATATCTGCGTTTTTCAATTTTCATTTTTGAATAATTTTTTTTACACAAAATGGGGACAGTATAATTTGCATAGAGCGTCTCTGACAGCAAATTCATGCGGATGCGTCTGCCACCCATAAAGGATTTGTAGATACACCGGCATCAACCTTTGCAGAGGTCGGGAGAGAGGGTAATTTTTCGGCACCAGGTAGTTTTAAATTTCAGAATTTCTATAAAGTGCGATTTTACCAATGACCAAGTTTTGTGAACTGACCCAGAATTCTGACGCCATAATTTCCATCGATTTTTGCAGGTCTGCTTGATAAAAACACTCGTGGATTTCTTCATGTACGACGAGAAACCGCTCGCCTACTGCGCTCAGTTCTTCCAGCCCACCATCCCCAACCAGAATCAAAACAATCAAAACCAGAACCAAAACAATCAAAACCAGAATCCGAACAATCAAAACCAGAATCAGAACAACCAGAATCAGAACAACCCGAATCAGAACCCGAATCAGCCATTCATCCCGAGACCGCCAACCCCGGCCGACGAGAAAAACCAAAACAATCAGAACAACTTTTCTCCTGCTATCCCTAATCCTCTCAACCCACCTAACCCTCTCAACCCTCCCAACCCTCTCAACCCTCAAAACCCTCTAAACCCTCTAAATCCTCAAAACCCTCTCAACCCTCAAAACCCTCTCAACCCTCAGGGCCCAGTCCCGGTGTTCCCGGATAATAACGGGAATAATAGCCCCCAACCGACGCCGAATAATCCTGTGAGCCCTGACGGGAAGCAGCCGACCCCTTTCCCGATTTCTCCGACAAGAAGTATTCGTTCTGCGGTGGGATTCGATCCCACGACTGAGTACGATCCCGAGATACTCCGCCAAAATCAGTTCAGAGCAAATTAAGGAGGCAGCTCCATGCGGGCGTTTTTATGTGAGTGCTCCAAATGGCATTATAGGCCTCCAGAGGGCTGACTGTTGAAATTGACAGACAATGCGATGGACGTGGAAAAAAGTGGATGTTACCGGAGCATGTATAATGTTGAAAAAATGTGTTAAAAAAAACAAAGTAGTGAGGCAGCTCCATGCGTGCGTTTTTATGTGAGTGCTCCAAATGACATTCCGCATTATATATAGGTCCGGAGGGCTGATTGTTGAAATTGATAGACAATGCGATGGAAATGTATAATGTTAAAAAAATGTGCGAAAAGTATCGTTGCTGATTTCACAATTAAAAAATGCTAAGTTGACTACGTCCACACTTAAAGGAACAAATTCAATGTTGAGTTAATATTTTTTTTCAATGTCAAATCAGCATTTGATATTGTCGCACTTTTTTTTAACAGTGTAAATGCTAAATCAACATTCAAATATTTTCCGTGGATAAGGAAGACTTAGGAATTATAAAGCAATCTTATTGGTTGAAACGGTTGGTTCCATCAGACTAAGAAGAAAATGATGGAATAACTATAGGGTCTCTCATGGGTTGTGATTAGTTAGTCTACTATCTACCTCCTTTGTCCATTCAAACCACCCGCTTCCACCAATCGGAACCCTCTAAATCCCTTTTGTCTTCTTTGTCTAGCGCTTTGTCTATCAGTTTCAACAATTAGCCCGCTGGATATCAACTGGACCCGGTTCAGCAGAAGAGAACCGAGCCACATCAGGTATTGCTAAATTCAATTGGGCAATTTAACTATTTACAGGAGAGCGTTTGTGCGGATTCTTTCGAAAATTTTACAGAATTTGCTTCGTATTATGCAGAAAATTCACCGAAATTTGCACGAAAATCCGCACAACCGTTATCATGTGAAAAAAATCAATTGTTCGATTATACTTAGCAATAGCTGATTTTGCTTGGTTCCTTTCCGATTAACGCGGTCAAAATTCTAATAGCTCTTTTCTCTGCCCAGTGATTTTTACAATGAATTGTTCACTACATCACATTGTCCCGAACAGCAAAAACTGTTTAAATACTTTTAAAAAAACTTGTGATTTCAATACAGACAACGGTGTAAAAATGATGAAATGCTCATATTGGGAAACCCCTCTGAGATATTTTTTGAGGTAAAATTTACAAATGGTGAAAATGTGTTGAGAAAAATTTCTTAAAATATTAATTGTAATCTTTTTACCCTACAAATATTTGAAGATAAACATGAGAAAACTATTAAAACAGTAGTAATTTTTCGTCGAGACTTTCTGCGGGTAAATTTTACGAGGGGTTAAATTTGACAAAATAATTGTCAAAAAGGGTTTTTTAGATCAAGTATATCAACAGAATTTCAGTTAGTTTTTAATATTGCCTCTTTTAAGTTATTTCTTTTAGGGGGTTTGATGACTGGACCTCAGTTTGAAGTTTGGAATTACAATATCTGGCTCAATTTAGAAACAACGTATGAACCGTTAGTTTCCCATGCATATAAGTGTTTTTGTAGATGAGCCGGAGATTGCAGTTCCTAATTGCAAAATGTCGTCCAACTGTGGGACCGGTAGCATGAGTGATCTGTCGCAGAGTCATTTTGATTGCATTTTGCGATTTGAACTACTGTCTCTAGACCAGTGAAGAATAAACGTATGTGCCAACATTTCTCCTATTTATACGTGATTCGATAAATGCACTAGATATGGTGCTTCCTCATTGTAAAATGTAATTTATTTATGAAATATTGTCCAGAGGTGATTACTCAAAAGCCAAACTATAGATTTTTACTTCCTCGCTCCCCTGTTTTCTTCTTCTGAAACACAGAACCATGCCATGAAAAGTTAATTCGGTTTGGTTCGTGTTATAGTACGCCTTGAAAAGGAAGAGAACCTCCATTATTTTGCATCGCTTTTTGATAGGTTTGCAACTTTTGAACCTTTTAGTGTATTCTCCTCTTTGCATTAGCTCCTATGAGAAATGAAACAAAAACTAACCAAAAATTAGTGTTGATTCAAAGGTCAATTCAAAGGTCGTATCACTTTGCAATCCACCGTCCATAATAACGAAAGCTGCATGCCATTATTTTTCTCATCATACCCTCATAAAGTACAATTTGTTCTCGGGAATTGAACCAATATTCGCATGATGATAGCTGATGAGTGACATATTCAGAAATTTGCTTTTGAAACGAGATCCACTCTGATATTGCTCATCGACAAACTACTTGACGTGACAGTTGTCTATCACCGTTAAACGACTGCGCAGATGGTGCGCGGAGCCTAGACGATGAGTCAATTCAACGTACCACGGAGCCGTATGGAGACGGTGCCGGCTTCTATGCAATGCCAAAAATGAACTAGCAGTTTTTGAGCCTCAATTTCATTGCTCAATACAAACGAAGATATGAACTCGTTGGCGGCATCATTAACATGGTATTGAGGCAAACGTTGTGTTTCTATTTTAGTACGTAATATTAGTGCGTAGTACTATTTTAACCCTGGAGACTAAATTTTGAAAGTTTAGCATTTCAAGTCATCTACGATCAATCAATTTTTATCAATTTTTTTTTGTTTTTGTTTTTGTGAAAATTTCGACACTGATTATGCAATTGGACGTGATAAAGCAAACTCGACATATGTATCGATGGCCAGAGTGTGAAACCACGTATCTCCCTTTTTGACGTTCCAGACTTCCTGTCACATTTCATTTTTCTTTGGAGAACTAGATAACGTAATTTCTTAAAAACTGTTCCTTGATTTTACTCTCTGTCAGCAGAGTATTCTGTAGAAATTTCAAGCTATGAATAGTTGGCTTGTTTCTCCTCGAAAAAACGAATAGAAGTGGAAATCTTGAAACACCGCAATGAGCATACGTTGTTTTGCACTTCAATAATCGATAACTACAACCTCGACCATGAAGAATTTTTGACGGTTTCACCTCAGCACTAGGTCCATGACAGCTTTTCAAAACGAGAATCAAGGTCTTTTAAGAAGTATTTAACGAATAAAGATTAGGTAAATCAAGAAATGTCAACGTCCTCTAAAATATGACAATCCGAAGAGCGAACAATATAACGTTGGAGGCATTGAGTAATTTCTTAAGGAAGATAGTTATCTCTTCTTAAACCTTAATTCTCAGTAGTTTATACACAAAAAGAATAGTGCAATTAGTACTACAAAACGTGTATTTGACGTTTTAGAGGTCCCAATATAGAAAGCCAGCCCTCTAAAAGGTCGTGAAAAATTGAGGAGCCGATGCAAATTCAGCAAGACCTGTTCATGGTAGATCCGGTCCCGTGGTACATAGATGCATGTAAATAAACCTGTTCCTAGCGGAAACCTGATGTTAACGGAAACATTTCTCGGTCCCGAGAGTAGACATTATGAACAGGAATTTAAAGTGTAATTTACATACCATAGTGAAACCTGTTCATAGAGGAAAGGAAACCTGATGTTAACGGAAAAATTCCCCGATCCCGTGAGATTTTGTTATGAACATGAACAGGTTTCACTGTATTATACATTCCACTTTAAAATTCAATAATTTTCGAGAACATGAGATTTCCAAGAATGTTCGACGTGCACTCGAGAACTTTTCAAGACATCACGAAACGAATTCCGCAGTCAAACGAATCTAGGTCTAGCCACACTGCTTAGCGCTATTTGCTCCCTTCTCCTCTCTCCACCGCGGCACCGGTCCGATACCGCAGGTTCGAATTTTCAATCAAAAGTTGTGAAAAAATAATCTCAGAACGACGCGGCTCGATCTAGGTTGATGTGACAGTCGCCCCGCGGACGCGCATGAAAAAGTTAGAGCTCGCGCTTTCAAAACGGAGGAACATGCGAATAAATCCATTAAAGATTGAACTGCAGGTGCGCCCTCATGCTATCACAGTAACTCCACTCCAAAGTGAGCCTCGAGGGGGATACGAGTACATGCGAAACGCGGTTCACGTCAAAATGGAGTTACTGCTGTCTTCCGTTGGGCGGCAGCACTGCAGTCTGCAGAAATTATCCCTTTCGTCTGGGAACCACTGTCATCCGGGTGGATTGACAGCCGGGGGCTGAGGGACAGGGCGGCGGGTGACGGGGGGTTGGCAGGGAGCAGGGCTGCTCTGCCTCGCTAAGGAAAAACGCCATATGAACATTCGAGAGTTGCCAAATTCCCTTCGATGAAACGTTCATTTTTAAGGAATCCAATGCATATTTTTCCTTGAAATTTTCAGGAACTTTAGGTAAAATCGAGAACAAAATAAGTTGAAAAATTAGAAGACAAATATCCATAAGTTTACCAGGAAATTCGAGTTTCATCAACGGAAATTTGGCAACGCCTGAAGGCTCATACGGCGTTTTCCCATAGCACGGCAGAGCAGGGCTGCTGGTCGGGTGTATAAATAAAAGCCCCGTTTGGACTGGGCTATTTTGACGACGTCAATTACGAAAGAATGAAAGCGGAATAACCGCACGAGGAATGAGCTGTCGTTGCGTGCCGCACGCCACGCCGTATATTCGTCGCAAGCTCGTACCTCGATCCCCGCAAGAGCCCCAGAGAGCATGGATTTATATGTAAGACAGGGCTCACGTGGAATTCGAGATGCGCCAGACGTCATAAGGGCGACATATTGATTCTGTCGATTCGGATACCTTGGCTCGGCGTGCACCTCGCTAATTTTCGATTATCAAATGGACAGCATTTTGCAATTTGGAACTGTGAATTCTAGCCCGGTTTAAAAACATCGTATGTGCCATTCGTTTCCCTATGAACATAAGTGTTTTTTCAGATGAGCCAGAATTTATAGTTCCAAATTGCAAAATACAGTTCAAATTATGCGCGGGGCACCGGGCCGAGGACCGTGTAAGTGTGGCCGTAGTGCCGTGCTTTTCCGGAGTGCCTTCGGAATTGGTCTGTTGCACAAAGCGGGGACAAATTCTTGGTCACACTCTCGATATTTTCGTCAATATGAATCGGAAATGACGTTACGATCTAGCCATTTTGATGGCTATAAGGAACAATATCTACCACCCAAAGTAACCTATAATCAAAGCGGGTAATCGCAGTCCCGTCTTGCGCGGAGAAGGGATTGGCCAATCGAAACATGGACGATCCACGCATCGCCGTAAGGATTCAATATTCAAGATATTTATGGCGTCGAATAGACCACATAGAATGTTGTGATACAATTACAATGGCTCAAGATTAAAACTATAGGTAGGCACAGAAAATTAAAATAAGGGAAAAGAAATATGAGATGAAAAATCATAGAAACTACAGAATTAAGTGATTAATTAGGAATAATCAATATCATAGATAAACTTGGGTACAAGGAGTTCAAAAAGGTGCGTGGTGCTTAATACTGCTAATTGTTCATATAAAAAATCATTGGTGCTGGATAGTCCATTTTCTGATTGGTCCCGCCCATAGAAGCGAAGCATTGGAGGGATATCTGAGGTTGCTCAAAAATTCACCGATACTTGAAAAATTCACAGATAAGAGCACCGAAATACTAATAAAATCAATGCAACTTTAAAGAAACTGACTGAAATTCAAGGAAAACAGACTAAAAGCCACGGCAATGCCCATGGAAATACACGTGATTTTGAAACATCTGCGGACTGATTGTTGAAATTGATAAACAAAGCTATAGACAAAGAAGACATAAGAGATATGGAGCGATCCAATTGGTTGGAATGGTTAGTACCTACAGACTAAGGGAGACAATGATTGACTAACTAATGGGTCTCTCGTGGGTTGCTGTTAGTCTACCTAGATGCCGTTAGATTACCTATTTCCTTGGTCTATTGCAACCACCTGCTGTTCCACCGATAGGATGCCTTCATATCCTTTTTGTCTTCTTTGTCTATAGTTTTGTCTATCAATTCCAACAATCAACCCGCAGGTCGAGCGGATGGTCCATTTTTGGCGATGCGTTTTTAGTCTAGGTTACCCTCCTTTCTCGCAAGCGACGATTTTACAGGACGAAGAAAAAACTTCGCCATTTTAATCATTTTGAGGCTAGGTTTGCAGATTTTTTATACGTTACAGCGCTTCCATGTGGAATTGGAAAAAAAGCAGAGCGGTTCTGAAAAAAACTGAATTTGACCCACCCTATATGCAGCGCATTTCTTTTGGCGCTGAGAAAGTGGATTTTAATCTTAGCATGTCATGATCCGTATATTGTACGCGCGTCGAGAAGATATTAGATTCCCTGCTGAGCCGATGAAACAAGACTAGTTTCCAGTCTCACTTGTGACTGAGGGTTGACTCGAGTGAATTATCCATCTGTGACGAGATATACTCCCAACAAAGTTAGGCTCTGCCCCTGTATGGTGTGCTCAAGAGTTGTCGCAGATCTTGAAAATAAAAGTTTACACTGTTGGGCGTCATTATCCTTTGAAAAGGGTTCTCTTCAATTGTAAGTAACCGCAAAAAAAAACATTTTTTCCACAAAAAACTATGTGATGTTTTGACTGGTTCAGCGGGTCGATTATTAAAACTGATAGACAAAGCCCTAGACAAAGAAAACAAAAGGAATATGGAGGGATCCTATTGGTAGAAGCGAGTGGTTGCAATGGACAAATGAGGTAGGTGATGGACTAACTAAAGGCAACCCACGAGAGACCCGACAGTTAGTCCATCATTTTCTCCTTTAGTCTTTAGGAGCCATCCCTTTCAACCAATAGGACCACTCCTTACTCTCTATGTCTTCTTTGTCTATCGACTTGTCTATCAATTTCAATAATCGGCCCGCAGTTCTTTATTGTGATTGGAAATTCA